CGTACTTTCAAAATGTCAACCTGTTCTCATAACCTCGAATTGGTTGAATCGTTAACTGCAAACAAGCTAGTGCCTGTGTAATTTCCTTATTATCCACTCTTATCAAGCAGCTTCTCGTATTCAGTTAATTAACTCTAAAAGCATTGAAGTTCGCAACTTTTAACTTTTACGAATTAACGATTAATGAATCGGAATGTTGAAGGTATGCGCATGCCACACATCCCTATAAACAGATTATTTCTGCCATTGTGTAGCTACAACCTAGCGGCTTAATACAAGAAGAACAATTTGACGCCACTTTGACAGATAAAAACCGTTATTTGATTTAAACACAAGCAGGATGTTTTTAAGATTAGGATTGTTCGTCAGAGGTTGTTCAGCTTAATAATTGAAATTAATGAGGAAAATTATGGAAATATGTTGGAACACATGAACTGTTGGACCTAGTGGAAGAGCAAGTTCACTTATGAGACAAAAAATCGGTGCTCAGATTCCAAATGCAATTTTGTGATATATTTTGCCAAATACGGAGCAAGCAATCCATGTAAACCAAAAAACTGACTTCGTCATTCTTGTGTATTTAAAAAAATGCTCTTTATCCCACTTACTATTTACCATACCCTTTATTAAGGTGGCAAAAAGACCTTCTCTGGCTCTTTTCCGATTTATGGGGCGATCACCAAAACGCCTACACCTATTGTTTAGCTTCAAACCTGCACTAAGTAGAGTAAATAGTACTCCACTCAGACCGAGTGCAATCATTTGTTGATTATTTAAGAACATTGCAATAAATTTAAATTAGAAAGGCAAACAGTCCAATAAAACAATATTTTAGGTTATATCACAATGACACATGACATTCGTAAAAATTAAGAATTAAGGAACTGGTTAACCGGCCCTTAAAAAGGATAAATTTTACGAATTAAGAATTAAGCACTACGACGTTGGTAATCCAGCACTTACTTTGTAAATTGTCTATCTAATGACGTATTAATATACAGGTATTTCCATTTGAGAAACAAAAGTTATATTGCGTTAAAGAGTTTTAGATAGAAGTCCACATTGTTAACACCCTCTACAATGTATTAATATTTTGGTTCAATTGAATTCTTAACAGATCTGTGGTGATTGGAAAGACGTATTTGTTTGTATTTTTAACTGCTTTTTTTGCTTCTACAATGAATTTTTAGATACCATGTTTTTAAGCAAAATTTTACTAAAATGGCGATAATCTATCAACGTCACAAGTAAGAAGAAGACAATTTACGGTGCATATGCAGCGTTATATGAGCTACTGAAAAATGGGGAGTTTTATTTAAAAAAATACACTTCGATCTTGCCTCGCTTTTCTGAGACACTCTGTATCATATAAGATATTTTTTAAATGTGGGCACTTTCTGCGTCAACAACTTTTATATGAAACTATTTTTCGAAAGTTCAACTCCATCGGAAATAATGGACTGTATCGCACTAAAAACCACTTTGTATATAGATACAAGAAGCTTGCGGTATTACAATCAAACTTGCAGTACGATTTTTAAAGTTCCTGAATTTAATTATTATAGCGTTCGCGTATGTTTATAATTGACATATAATTGATAGCCTTTGACTTCTCCTGCTTCATTATTATTCGCTAACATTTTTCAAACAATTATTTACGATAGACAATTATGTGCACAACATACATTTTCTTAAGTGTTTCTTTATATGCATTTATAGGAAAATATTGGTCAACGTGCGAGAAAGTATTACTTCCTGAACTAGGGACGAAAATAACATAAATTCAATAAAATTGTTGCCAGATCGATGGAATTCCAATTCCCAGATAAATCCCAAGATTTATTCTTTAGGTCTATACTTTTCAAATAAGAAATACGTAAATTTCCCATATAGAATCACTCCCATGTAGAATGTGTTTTTACTGGAAAACTGATATAACTTTAATACTTTTTAATAACAAATTATAAATAAAACAGAAACATTTATTTGAAGCCCTACATATATAATTAATATATGGTAAGTAGAAGCTTCATTTTTATAGATATATCGGGTGATTCAAAATTCCACAAAATGTATACCAATATCGACTATGCGGATATGATATTCAGCCCTGTGCTGTATCACTCACGTTAACTTTACGTGCATGTTATCCATCAAACACGTTAGGTTGCTCCAACTGGTGTGTTGTATCGGTAAAACTTTTATATTATAACAGGCGTACGCTATCGACGAACGTTATATTAAGAAATAGCGCTGCAGAATAACAGCATCAAATCAGATGCCGCTATCGAACTTAACGTGCGACCCCCGAAGTTAAGCTCGGAGGAATAAATAAAACAATTGTGTTTAATCAGAGCGTAGTTTTGTCTTTCAGCTATAATTTGTTTTTAATTTAAAAGAAAAATATGTCTTTTGGTGGTCTTAAGGTAAGCTTTATTAGAACAATTGGTAAATGGTCTTGAAAAACCAACTTAAACTTTATTTTCCTCCACAAACTCTGCTAAATTTTCAAATTGTTTGCGTGTTGGTTTTTTGCCTCTTCTGTGCATGCTCCATTTAAAGCGTTTGAGAAGATAGGTCAAAAACAGTAACGAACGAAATTGAAAGTGAATGCAAATCATAAACAAAGACAAGTATGGTAGTAGGTGGGCCAAATGGCCAAAACGTGCACATCTGGTGCATATGTTTTCGAAGCTTCGATGGTTTGATGTTAACTCTCTCTAACTAATTGACTATTGGTATAAGGGCATCTCACTTTTTGTATCCAATATTTTTTTCCTTTTTAACGTTTGTTGAATAACTGGGTCAAAAACTCATTCGTTAACTGGGAGATAGAGCACACCTTGGTTGTGTTGTTGAGTTATCGAAAATGTTGTACTGAACTGTTAAGTTGCCATAACGTGCGGCCGTTAAAAATAGCATTTATGATACAGCACAGGGCTGATTAGTTGTCGGAAATGCCACAGTAAAATATCAGAAGCTCTAAGAACTTACGCTAACAAAAGGTAGAGACACTGGACGATTGGCTCTTTTCTATCTGAAATTTAGGGCCGATACTGGAAGACTAAGAGACATAGAGGAGCAGGTATTGGAGATAATTGCAGCAGGGCCCTTCAGGACGAATTGGAGCCGCGCGCACTTTCCCAGGCAAATCAGCACCGACCAATCCCCAAGGAAGAGCTCCATCCCTACCATGTAGGTACGATACACAGGAGACAAACGTACATCAAATCTCTACTCAACCAAATAACCGTTTGCGAGACGCTGCTCAAAATGTGAGCCCAGAAAAGCTGCGAAGGGTGCACAATGACGTGATTAAACGAGCACAAACATGTGTGGAGTTAAATGGTCAGAACCTCGAACAGCTTTTCTGAATTCTTTTAAAACCCACAGGTTCATATCTAAGAATTTCGTTTCACTGCCAACATCCATATTGTTTTTCAAAGTCTATAAGAGGCTTTGTTAAAATATTTCTTCTTTAGTGTATTGCATTAAATTAATTTTTAAAGAAGAGGATAACTCTTTACCGCTTGCCCTAATCTATTTCATTTTCACTTGAGCTTTTGACATTGAAAACATAGTTGTACTTGTTAATGAGGCAGATTATCTTGAAAGACATTGTTGCATAATTTCCGATTTAGTTTTTTGCAAATACTTAAGTTTTCAAAGAACAATTTTTAAAAACGAAGTCTATGAGAGTTCAAAATGTAATTTTCTACTAAACAGTAAACAACCTATCCAACAAAAGATTTTTGGAAGCGCCGTAACATTAATGCAGCTCCTTAAGTGTGACATGAACTATAAAGTACTTTGGCAATTACTCCCATTCTGAAACTAACGCGGAGGAAAGTTCTAACATTCCGAGTTTCCCGAAAACGTATCGAATAGTCATGGAAACTTTTGCAATTAATCCCCGAGACAAACCGCTTTTCAGGGCTAGAATCCCAATTTCATCAATTTCGTTCTGCTGTGTGAAAATAAATGAAACAGTTTGATCTGTTATTCAATTCTAATGTCTGTTAGGTGCAAAAATGTATTTTCTTCAGTTTTAATGCAATCGAAATTTATTTTCTGATTTTCACACTTATAGTCATTGTTTAAAAATCATCCCCTCTAGCATTGGAGGCGATTCTGAGTATCGCTCCTCTGCAGGTCGTAAAGGAAGATGCTGGAAGGGCGGCTTGACTTCTGGGGGTGTTGGGTGGTGGCAGAACTGACGATGCGCACAGAAAAATATAGGAGGAAACAATCAGATTGGACCTCCTCTTGACGAGAACGAATGAGATGCCAATCGTTTAACAACACCTTAACATTAACATGTACCTGCATTTTTGCAAGTCTCTTTGAATTTTTGCAGGTACTTTACAACATTACAATCTGCTATTTGCCGCCATTTTCTGGGAATTATAGATTGAGAAGGAATTTTACTCTCAAGCAGGCGAGCAAAACCCATACTTTTAATGAACGGCGATTGAACTCAAAGAAAACCAGAAAAGTGTGGGTTTCCTTCAAAACAAAAAGTATGTCATCTTAAGCACAACTCCCCTATGTAAAATAATCCATAAATCGCGAATTTTTCTGTATACGCTTACTATAATTGAGCTTCTGAGTCGACGTGTGCCGGATCGAGCAGTCGCTTTACCATAAAAAACGAACATTGCTAAAGCGTAAAATATACATCAGCTTTAGCAGAATTGCAAACGCGCAGCTTGTAATTAATTTCTCGTAAACATAAAAGAATATTTTGTTAGAACCTTACAATCCTATAGCGAATTTTCACATGGAACTTTCAACGATCCGTTTTCCTTAACTGTCTGACCTTCTAAGAACTCATGATCATTTTGCCCACTTCTATGATAAAAAAATAATTGTTTTATGTTTAAAACACATCTTCAGCTTTTCGCTCATTAACACGCGATAACAGTGATAACAGCAACCAGATTAACCTACGTTGCAGCTAATCTATTCAAAATGCACAAGTGTTTTCCGATAAGGCTCACCTTGCCATAAATCCAGAGCTAAAGCAGCATCGTTAGCATGCACAAGAGCACATGAAACGATAACGATCCCAAAACAGTCTATGCTGAGTATTCAATCTGAAACAAAATTTAAACTTATTAAAAGCGACCTGAATGTATTATATGAAGTAAAAAGTCACGTTTTCAGCTAATCAGTTCACAATAATAGATAATTTTGTGTGAAAATAAAATATCTTATTGTGTTCAATAAAGAAAACGCTAGGAATAACATGTGTTTACTGAAACGAAAAACTTTTTCTTCCCATCATTTTTTTTTAATGAGGGATGATTTACGGTTCAAAAGTTTCTACAAAAATAACAGTCTAGTCGTGTTTTTTAAACAAATTCATCGGTTGTAAAAGAGTTTTGGTGGCTTTGAACTGTCTAAAAGGAAGTGTTCGTTTCTTTCACTGGAGAGCGACTGATGCAGTTCTAAATAGAAGCGGAACACGTAACTAGTAACAACTCACGCAGAAATAATTGGAAACAACTAAGGACTAATGAGACAAAATGGACACAAAGGAAAAGTCGAAACGAAAGTCTCACTATTGTTAGATTCGGATTTAAAATATTCAAAGTTGGCACCTTTTTGATAGAGAAACGGTTCCCGAATGTACGTAAGGCCGTTTAGTGCCGGTCGCTCACGCAGCCGCCCATAAAGGACACGCAACACGTCTGCCTGACAAGACCCAAAAACCCATTTTTTCTAATACTATGATGGATGAAGATAGTTGGAAATAAAAAATATGAGCAACAGAAGAAGCCTGGATAATTAAGTAGTCGAGAGAAATTGAAGGGCTAGAACTAAGTTATGATAGTTTAAATGTGAATTTTAAAAGTAACAAGAGGTTAATTTAGCGAAATGAATCGTAAAAGATTTCCTACAATGAAAAATTATTAATGAACAAGATTTTGTCTCGGCTTAAAAACATCCCTTTCATTTATAATTTTTGGACATTAAAAACTCTCCATTGGAAAATTATTAGTAAAGATCGGATTTTAAGCATTTTGCTTATTGCTGAGTTTTATCAGCAACCATAAGATTATTTAATTTCTAAACGAATTATACCAAACTAAGTATTTTTCGATAGCTTTTAGTATGCTTTTTTTGCTTTTTTAAAGTTTTCATGCTTTTTTGTCCGTTCGTGCTTACTTTAACTTTTATGTGCATATTTAAGTAATTTTAAAAATAGTACAAAATATTATACGGGAATAAATGTCCATATAAAGTAAATTTAGCAACTTTGCAAGGCGTCGCGTGATTCCCCGAAAAATCCGTTCGCACGTAGGTAATTTCCAAAGTTTAGCCTTGCGCTATGCCAAGAATTTTGTTATTTATTTTTATTTAGTTAGTTACAATAATGTGGTCTGGGCTCCAATTTGTTTGTATCGTCTGTACTTGGATTTAATTAGCTGTACGTGGTAACCATTTAAACAATGCCAAAAGAAAAGCCAACCATTGAAAAGTGGATTAAGGGTCACAAAGAACTAAAAATTGGCTATAAAAAGATTTTTTATCAAGCATGTTCTAAAACTCTAAGTAAAAATTCGCAAATTCTTATTCTCGTCTTTGTTTCCTGTTTAAAATATAATTTTATTTCTCTGAATTTTTTGGCTCTTAAGTGCTTTCCTTTTTGACATTAGTTAAACGACTTTAAGATACAACATAAAAAAATTGGTTTTAATAAATTTTAATATTGGAGTAGATAATATTTTCTTACTTTAGTGCTCATTGTTTGTAACAAAAAATATGACGTAACTCAGCAATTACAAACTGAACGGCATAAGGAGCACATTAACAAATATGAGGAAAATCCAAATAAGCAACAAACTATTTTGTCTTCACTAGCTTCAAATTCTCGTTTTAATGAACAAAAACAATTTCATTTTGATTTGTGCAGTGCTATTGTACATCCCGTTGAATAAATTGCAAAGTAGTTCGTTTAGACAATTTCTAGAAAAATATTGTAAAAAAAGCATTCCAGATGAGAGCACTCTTCGTAAAAATTATGTCAGCCCAGTTTATGATGAAAAAATGCAGCAAATTAAAAAAAATTATCGCAAATAATTATGTATGGTTTACTGTAGATGAAACAACTGACACATGTGGGAGATATATAGCCAACTTGATTATAGGAGTCTTGAATGAAGATATAGTCACAGAAGGATTTTTAATAAGTTCTAAGGAATTAACAAACGAACAGTAATACTATTTCTAGATTTGTACATGAAGAGTTAAACAAGTTATTTTTGCCCGAGGTGGTTCCAAATGAAAAAAAAAATGTATTGATGCTTTCCGCCGCAGCAGCTTACACGATTAAAGATGCATCAAATCTTAAATTTTTTTACTATAATTTAATCCATTGCACCTGCTTAGCACATGGGCATAACCGCATAGCTGAAACTATAAGATTGCAGTATTCGTTGGTGAATAAATTAATAAAAAATGGCGAAAAAATTTCCATTGAGAGTGCAACTTTTTAAGGAAAGATGTCCTGATATTCCTTTACCCCCAGAACCTACTTTAACACGGTGAGGAACTTGGCTAGATAATTTTAACAAATTTAAAAGCTTGATACTTGAATTTCAAGGTACAGAAAGCCAAGCAATTCAAGAATGTCAGGAAGTTTTAGAAGTACCCGAACTTGCACATAATTTGGCTTTTATCATTTTGAATTTGTAACTCAAAGCATTCAATTTTTGGAAAAACAGCAGCTGCCGTTAGTGGAGTCCATAAAGGTTATTAAAAATTTTGAAGCTGCAGCAAATAGTATTCCAGAATCCATCGGTCAAATAATAAACGAAAAATTGGTTCAGACTCTTTCAAAGAATACAGGCTTCCAAACATTGCAAAAAGTATCTACTGTTTTGAATGGTTCGCCAAATTCCTATTTTGAAATAAATCCAGCAATTATACCAAAATTTAAATATCCACCCATAACCAGTGTAGATGTAGAACGAAGTTTTTCTGCATACAAAAACGTTTTAATAGGCAGGAGACATAATTTTATTACGGAAAATTTGGAGAAACATTTAGTTATATTTTCTTTTAAGCATTTTTAATAGTAAATAAGTAGATTGAAACTAAATAGAACGTGTTAAATGTAAAATAATAAATAAAAATAAAAATATATTATCATCACAACTTGTTTTAATTTTTTTTCAAATGCTTTTTATTTAATTTGTGTTTTTTCAAATATTTTTATGCTTTTTTAAGCACTTTGTTTTAATTTTTTTTGTTTTTTAAAATATTTTTATGCTTTTTTAGGTACTTTTTTCCATTTTTTTGTGCTTTTTTATCCGGTCTTTAATTAGTATCTTACAAATTAAGTTAGTTTGTGTTATAGATCGATTTACATTAAGTACATTTTTTAAATGCATTCTGAATCAAAAAAACACTTGGGTCGTTTTGCCTTTGAATTAAAACAATTTATCGAAAAATTCAAAAACGACAAAGAGAACAATTTTTTTTTAAATTTTAACATTTTTCAAAAATCGGATGGTTAGTAATACAACTAAATTTAATCGTAATCTGACAACAAATCCATGTAACTATTATTTAGTTCTTTATATCTGCTGGTGAACCCACTTACAGGTCAACAGAATGAAACAAACGTACCTAATTGATTTTGTAACGAACAAATGCATTGATCATTATTAATTCACTGCCAACTCGTGTCTAGACCTATCTTCAGACCACTCGCCAGTTATCGTCGCACTTAACACAAAAATCATCGTAAAAAAACATGTGACCAGACTTGAAACCAAAGAAACAGATTGGAATGAGTACATACATTTCATAAAAATTAATTTAGATTGCAGTGTCTTACACTGCCTGATTGTGCCAGGAGCCAGATCAGGATTTTGGAAAACGCGCCAAAATACCAATTTATCTGAAACGGAAAATATACGAGGCATGCATGGTTCCAGTTATATTGTACCGGATCGAAACTGTCACCATGCCAAAGAAAAGTGCACAAAAACTCGCGGTTTGTCACCGTGCGGAGCGTGCGTGAACAAAGAGAAGCAGAGGCAGACCCATTCTAAGATGGTGAGACGACATACAGAAACGAGCGGCAAAGAACTGGATGCTCCCAGCACAAAACAGGTCCACATGGAAGGAAATGGAAGAGGCCTATGTCGAGGAGTGGATTAATACATGCTGGATTAATCCGTATTTCATTTCGATTGTTCTTCGCAGTTGTCTAGTAGCGGGTATTTATGATCGTGTTTCTGTGGCGCAGGTCATAATAAGTCTTGCACACGTCTTGTAAATGAACTGAACTCTTAAAAAATTTCGACTTTTTCAACTAAGTAATATTAATATTGGGATTATTTTTTAATTTGCACACTTTCTATTTTTGAAGTCGCATTGAGTTCGGGTCGCGTTTGAGGTCGCAATAGCTCTTAAAGCAACATCTTGGGGCTTTTGGAAAGTTTTGAAATTTTTCAAATATCTTGACACCTAACGAAATTGCGGGCAAAAGACTGAAGATATGTGCAAATTGAAGTGGCGTGTTCGATATTCAGATTAACAATGCGGTGGATCTTACGTTAGGTCCTCTCGCCAATCTATCGTCTGGAGGAAGATGTCAGTAATGCATTTTAATGTGGGTTGTTTTACTTGCTTGCATTATTGCTAACAGTTGTGGAGTTGGAGAATGGGCAAATAAGTGTGCAAACAATGTGGTTGGCAGTTTAACCCACGTAGCAAAATGATATWCCYAGAATATACCTGGAACATTYACGTGATRTATATGCATATTCCTGGGACATACATGGGTTCCATTATGAACATTTCATGTATGTCCCAGGAATTAGTCAGAGTTAATACACTGAATGTTCATCTTATGTTCAGSGAATATACATGTGTATGTTCTGAGAATGTACATAGTATGTTMAGTGAATGTACATGGTATGTTCTGTGAATATACATGTGTATGTTCAGTGAATGTACATGGTAWGTTCAAGGAATATACATACATRTATGTTACGAAAGAAAAACGATCMTTTATTTCATCTTATTGGTTTATTAACATATTTAAATATTTACTTGTTGAATCAAGTATTTACTGTTG